AGATAGAAAAGGTGTTGCATTTGTCAGAGAGCCTGTCTAAGTCTGAAGAGATAGTCACATGGGTTTATTCCATTCTATTATTGTGAGATATTACCGCAGCTGATTCTCAATGTACATCTGTCTTTGCATTGAGATAAATCACATTTGGTTATGATATATATTTCCCTTTAACATGCTGCAGCATTTGAATGGCTGATAATGTGTTGAAATCTTTTGCGACTGTGTTTTTGTCTCTAGCAATATCTTTTCTGTTTTAGGAGTCAGGGACATACCAGTCTCAGAGTGAGCTGTGAAGTGCTCCTTCCTGTTATTCGAAACTCTTGAGGAAAGTGTGTGAGGGACTGCTGATGTGATTTGGATGCTGCTTACGTGTGTGCCCCAAAGCTTGATGTATTTAAAGCTTGTTCCCTGTAGTTTGGATGTTTGGAGGTGGTTGGACCTGCAAGAGGTGGGGTCCACGGGGCATTCCCTGGGTCATGTGCCCTGCCTTTGGATGGATCTCTAGGTGAGTGATTGTTCCCTGGAGTTGAGTCATGATGCAAGCTCAGGAGCAGCCCAAGATCTTTGTGGTTCCTTGTGTCACCACGTTGTCTCTGCCTTTCTCTGTGATGCCATCCCCCATGAGGCCCTCACCAGCACTGAGCTGATGCTGGTGCAGAGCCCTCGATCTTCCAAACCCATGAGCTAAATAATCCCCTTTCCTCTATAAACCACTCAACCTGGTGTTTTGTTGCAATAATGGAAAATGAACGAATATGCATACAGTTGGTGTAGGTCCTCCTACAAACACTTGATAAAATTAATCAGCAGATTTATGTGGTTCTGGATTTTCTTTGTTTCAAGGTTGGGATGACAAGATGCACCTTTTTGCTAGTTAGATGTCTCTTCCAAGTTTCTGATGTACTAACAACTTGCTTGCAGTGTGAGTGAAAGTGTACATATTTAAAGCATGTGAATGATAATTTCAGCACTTACACCACAGGTGGCACTGTAGCCACAGTCACTTCCACAGTGCCCCTCGTGCCACCCTGGTGTCCTTGCCCCCTGCATCTCCCTGGACTCCATGTCCTTCTCTAGTCACTCATTTATGTTTTGTCACTTGAAGTTTGAGACTTGGTACGAGCTTCATTTATTCGGTTTCTGATTTGAGTTGGGCCCTTGAGTTTGCCCAATGACTTATTTTGGGTTAAATTCTCTATTTATTGTCAAAATGTACCAAAGTGAATAGATTCAACAGAAAAAAATTTCATGTATATTTTGGGCTTTTTATGTAAATAATTACACATACCAAGAAATGCATAAAATGTACAGATAAGTGAGGCTTGTTTTTGTCATCTGAATACACTTATAACCAACACAAAATATAAAAACAAAGCATTAAAATTCCCCAAGAGTTCTCAAAACCTCAAAACCTTTTCTTGTTCTCAACGTGTGAAATAAAAATATATTGTCATTTACATAGTATGAATCAGTGAAGCAATACTTAAAACTATATATCAAAAGATTGACCTATACACCTTTACTCTCTGTATATAGTAACTATCCCAAACAAGAGCATACGTGGGGCATTTGCTTTTTGAGTCTTGATTACTCCACTTAGCATAATGATCTCCAGTTGCATCCTGCTGTTGCAAATGTCAGAATTTCATTTTTTAATGGCTGAGTTGTATTCCACTGTGTGTATATCTCATTTTATTTATCCAGTCACTGTAATGGTCATGTGGTCATATGGGTTGACTGAGTATTCTGAGTTGAGCTGCTACTAATCTGGGAGTGTAGGTAACTTCATATGCTTATTTCACTTCCTTTGGGTGGGTTCTTAGGTTTGAGATTGCTGTGTTGTATGGCAGATGTGTTGTGAGTTTTCTGAGCAATCTCCATAGCATCTACCATAAAGCTTACACCAGCTTGCATTCCTGCCATCTGTGGATTAGGGCAGCTTTCTCTCCACATCCTCTGGATCCTTTGTACTTCCACGTGAATCTTAGGATTACTTTTTCTAGTTCTGTAGAGAATATCCTTAGTATTTTGATTGGTGTCACATTGACTCTATAAATTGTTTGGGTTGTGTGCACATTATGATAATGTTAATTCTTCTAATCCATGAACGTGGAAGTTTTTTACATCATCTTGGAACTCTTAAGACTTGGGAATATTTGGTTGTTTGATGGTATCCCATAGGCTTAAACACTACTTTCAGTCTTTGTAATTTCTCTTCCTCCCCTCCTCCATCTCTTCCTGCACCTTGCCTTCCTAATCCTCTCCCTCTCCCTCTGCCTCCTCATCCTCTTTCTCCCCACACCTCACCTATTTGTCATCCTGCCCCCTCTTCTCCCTTCATTCCCTCCTCCAATTGTCTTCCCTCCCCTCCCCTCCCCTCCCCTCCCCTCCCCTCTGTGGGGAGCAACTCGGACTAGACTAAGTTACTGGAATTAAGACTTATTCTATGCATCTGCTCTCCCACAATATGGCGCTGGGAGAGGAGAAAACAGCTTCTACGCAGCTGCCTCTTGCCAACTTGAGTGATGACCTCCAGGAGCTGATCCTGCTCCTGATTGGAGGAGAGCAGCGTACTCGGCATGTGGGTAGCAGAGTTGGAATTGGCGGAAGAGGACTATAAAGGAGGAGAGAGACAACATGCACCAGGAACATCTAAGGGGAACATCTAAGAGGAACACCTGAGCAGCCCCAGAGAGAGCCGGCCGGCGGTGTGCCGCTCCCCCGCGGAAGTGGGGAAAGTGGCAGGGGGAACCGCCCTTCCACGGAGGTGGAAGGGTCGGTAGCCAACCCAGGAAGTACCAGCAGCAAACCCGGGGAGGGCTGAGCAGACAAAAGAACAGCGCAGGGTCCTGTGTCGTTCCTCCATGAAGAGGGGGAGCGACATAATGGTGCCGTGACTTGGATAGGAAGCCTAGGAGCAACACCCTCCCCTCCCCTCCTCTCCTCTTCTCTCCTCTCCTCTCCTCTCCTCTCTTCTCTCCTCTTCTCCTACCCCTCCTCTTTCTTTCTTCCTTCACATTTTTTCTGGCAGAGGTAATTGAAAGAACTGCCTTGCAGGTCAGATATTCTTTATTTTTCCTCAACAAATCTGTTATGGCTTTACATGTATTTTTAATACTTTGTAATATTTCTATTTTTAGCATCTCTTCAGAATTCTTGACAATGGTACATACTGACTTCCTAATTTGACCTCACTGTCTCTAAGTTTTTGAGTACCCTTATCCTCAAACTTTTGAATTCCTTTTCAGGCATTTTCAGCCTCCCCTTCTTTTTTTCTTTAAAGATTTATTTGAAAGAGTTACACAGAGGGAGAAGGAGAGGTAGAGGCAGAGATAGAAAGAGAGGTTTGCCATCCGCTGGGTCACTCTCTAATTGAGAACAATGGCCAGAGCTGAGCCTGTCTGAAGCCTGGAGCTTCTTCTGGGTCTCCCATGTGATGCAGGGGCCCAAGGACTTGTGCCATCTTCTGCTTTCCTAAGCCATAGCAGAGAGTTGGATTGGAAGTGTAGCAGCCAGGACTAGCACTGGTGCCCATAAGACATGCCGATGCTACAGGCAACAGCTTGACCTTCAGTGCCACAGCACTGGCCCCAGTCTCCCTGCCCTGATCATGCTTTTGTGCATCTAAATTGACTTTCTCATATCTGGGGGATCTCTTGTTACTCTCTCCACTGTAGAATGGGCATTTTGGCTTATTTTTGTGTGTGTGTGTTTTTTTTGTTTGAATATTTTTTTCCAGGAAATGTGCCTCTGGGACTTGGAGGAGTGCCTAAGGCTTACACTTGAGTTCCAGGGTTGTGTGCTGGGAGGGACCAGGGTGCTCTGGCCACTCTTTGTGGGTGGGGCAAGAGTCCAGATTGATGCCCATGATGGGTGTGCTGCAGAGCCTCTGGTAGTCAGTGTGGCAGGGGATGGTGGAGGCTCCTAGTGTGTGGACAGTTGTAGCCTTCTCTGTGACAGGGTGAACCAGCTGATTGAAGGCCTGGAGTGACCACCTGGTGTTGGTGCCCTCCCCCACCCATGCATGTGGCCAGACAGGGCACTGACCCGCTCTGTGGTGTTCCTGTCTCCCAGCTTCCTCCATGATTGGTCCCAGAGAGCCGTGAGGTCTGAGACTCCACAGACTGCTCAGGTGCACTGGAACCCAGCTGCACCCCACCTCCTTCTCAGCCCCATGGCGAATACCACCAACTCCCACAGTGACAGGGTGCAGGTCCAGTCTCCACCCTCCAAGTTGCCCTGTCCCAGGCCCTGGCAGGCTCCAGCAGAGGTGGAAGTGCCTGCTGTTAACTGAGTGAGGACAGAGCTCACCTGCAGCTCCACCTCAGCAAATTGTGCCTGGTGCTTTGGTGGAGGAGGGGAGGGAGCCAACATGGCAAAGCAGTCAACCATCCCCTGCAGCTCCCCAGGCCAGACTTAGGTCCAGTGGGAGAGCTGGAATTCTTCCTCAGTAAAAGCTGCCAGTGGCAGGGGCCCAGGCAACCTCCTCTGACCCTGCTAACCTATGAAGATGGCAAGCCCCAGTCATGAGCCACTGACAAAAGCAGCAGTGTCTGGCGGCCATGTATCTGTCCTCTCTCCTCACTGCTTCATTGCAGGGTCTTAGTCCACCTGAACAAGGATGGACTGGGCCCAAGGAAAGGTAACTGTGCCACTTGCCCGTTTCCCAGGCTCGCGATCCCAGAGATAATCAGACGTAGCGGGGAGCCAAGTCAAGCAAGAACTCATTTATTGCGCACATAGCAAAGCCTTTTAAAGCACAAAACTGCAGAGTCATTGGGGCAGGGCATAAGGACCAACCAATCACTTAAACGGTCATTTTATGGGGCGATTTTTACAGGACTAGCCACATGTCTGTACAACTCATCATCAGTTGTTGTCACTTCCCCTGATGCTGTGCAGCCAGTCACCGTTAGTGGCAAACAACTTTGTATTCCGCCGACCTTACTTCCTTTGGGCACCATCTTTGAATTGCCTCGTGTGCCTAATTTCCCCGCACTCCATAGGCTCTATGTTCTTGGTGTCCTACACTGAATTTCTCTGAATTAGTCCCCTGAGAATGTGGTCCTTCCTTTGTTTTTCTGGATCCTTTCTGTGGCTGAGGACAATGTAGCTTCCCCGATTCCACCATCTTGAATCTCCCCTATATCTACATTTCAGTGAACTTGGTGCATTCTATAAGCAATCATTATGCATTTAGAAGTCAAAGTATTTGCTCAGGTAAAGACATGTTATTTATTCCTGAACAAACAAACATTTTCCTTCTCCCACATGAATTTGAAAAGCTTGATCATTCGTTTTTCACTACTGATGAGCAACAAAGGACCAATTGTGGCATAGCCATTGCTCACCAACAGCTGAACACAGAGGTGAACCGGGTCATTTTTCCACCACAACCCTGAGAATGAGAACACAATGCAGTCCATCAAGTACAGGAGCACAAAGACACCCATGAGCAGCAGGATGGTCTGGGTGGCCCTGTGCTCTGGGGAGGCTCTTGCAGAGAAGCTCGTGCTGTGAAGGTGCTGGGACCGCCTCTTGTGCCTGCACAGGAGAGTCACCATGTACCCACTTGAGAGGGCCATGAGCCCTACAAGGGAGACATCCCTTAAGATCCACAATATGGAAAATGTGTACCTGGGTAAGTAGCTCAGGGGGCAAAGAGAGCAGGATTTAGTGACAAACATAAGACTGTGGGATGTACAATTTTTGGTGGCTACAGTAGAGATTAAGAGACGAGCACTGATGGACAAATTGAAGACCCATAGGAAGAGAAACCCACACATGTTGTGATGGGAGGATGTGTGCTTGAACTTTGCCAACCAGGAGCTCCTGGGGCTGAGGGTGATGGCCTGGAGGACACTCAGCAGGCAGGTGGTGCTCAGGGAGAGGCTCCGTGTCACCTGGTATGAGTAGATGACAGCTTTACATGTGATGTCGTCCCATAACTCCCGAGACTCAAAAATGTCTGTGGCTATGACCCCCACAGTGATCAGCATCAGCAGGTGGATGAGGGCCAGGTGCCCAATGGTCAGGTCGGTGGGCCTGGGCCTGTGCTTGAGAAAGAACCAGAGGACGTGGAAGAGAAGAAGGAAGGCATTGGCTATGACCCCAGTGCTGACTTCAGGATAAAAAGCATTCCTTACGGCAATAAAACTGGAAAATAAATCTTTTTGCTCATTTTTAGAGGAGAAAAACATAGAGTAAGTCTGTGGAAAAAGTAAGAAAAAATGGTTAATCTGAAATATTACTGCATGTATCAGTTGTGACTATACTCTGTTCATGGAGGTACCTGGATTAATCCCTGTGCATCCCTTTTCACATGGGAATACTTCAGTCTACCTCAGACTATCTCAGAAGCCACTGTGTTCCTAGATGCACACCTGCCCTTCATGATTGGAGTATACCGTCCTGTCTGGACTCCCACAGGACCTGGACAATAAAGTGGCCACTATATTAAAGGTGTTTCATGATTTTTACCTTACTTTTAGTTTCACCTGAAGGGCAGAGAGTTCCTTCCCTTCGCATCTTCAGAATCCTCATAAAGTTCTGGATCCATAGTAGGAGTGAACTCTCATAAGAATTTTAGGAAAATAGGAATGAGACCTTCATATGCAGTAAGTAGCCTTATCTATTAGCCTATAGTAGCCTTATCCATAGCCTATCTATGCATGGAACTGTCTTATGTCACTGTCCGGTTTATTTTCAGTTATTTCCAGAGAAATTTTCTTAACGCTTGAGAGTTAACATAAAGGTGGGTTAGTGTACACTCTGAATTTCATTGTATGACCTGACATTTACTAAGTGTGTGACCTTCAGCTGTCACTCAACATGTGATGCCCTGTATGGGTAAGCGTGTCACTTACTAGAGATGCTGTGTGTGCAAGATGTGTGTGACCAGGTGTAGGTCCTGTTAAATACGTGTGTGAACAGGTGCAGGGAACAGTGGCCTCTGCAGAAATGATGGCCACTGCTGTTCCTGTGATGGTCTCCTGCTGAGCTCACCTTGAGAGAGCACTGTCCTCTCATAAGTTTTTAATAGAAAGCTTTTATTTAATAAATATAAATTTCATAAGTGCACCTTTTGGATTATAGTGGTCGTCCTTTCATAATTAGCCTGCTCTGTCCCTGCCTACAGGAGCAGGGGAAGTGAGCACCACAGTAGCAGGCTCTGTACACCCTCTGATCCATGGTTCCTTCTGTTCCCTTCCTGCCTCGTAGAAACCACAGTGTTTATGTTCCCAGTCTAAGTAGACAGATGATCCGTTTTCTACAGAAGTGATGATGGGACACAGTTCTAAGCACTATTTTGTGTCTTTCTTGTACCAAAAAAGAAACTCAACTGTTTACTGTGTATCTATTTCACCTAAGCTAGGCAAAATATCCTGATAGTGTTTTAAAATAGTATTTAATAAAAAATAATTCTGTAATCAACACACAATTATTCTTAGGTGTTGAAATTTAACTGAAAAGTGATCTTTGTTAAATATAAGAGTGGAATAAGAGAGGGAGGAGATGTACAATTTGGGAATGCTCCCTCAGACTTACCCCAATTGGTAGAGTTAGAAACGTGCCAGGGCATTCTAATCCAATCCCATCAAGGTAGCATGTCCCAATGCCATCTCACTAGTCCAAGTGATCAATTTCTGTTCACAATTGATCATAATGATAGGATTAAGAGTTAAAGGGATCACATAAACAAGACTAGTGTCTGCTAATACTAACTGATAGAATAAAAAAGGGAGAGAATGATCCAACATGGGAAGCGAGATACACAGCAGACCCATAGAATGGCAGATGTCCTAAACAGCACTCTGGCCTCAGAATCAGCCCTTGAGGCATTTGGATCTGGCTGAAGAGCCCATGAGAGTATTTTAGGCATGGAAATCCAAGACACTCTGGCCAAAAAAAAAAAAATAATCAATTAGATGGCAGAATAGGAAGGGAGCACACTGATAGTCTGGGGAGAGACAGTTTAATAAAAGTGGAGATACTGCAGGTTCAAGGAATAGTAGGGGAGGAAACAGCAGAAGAAACTCTTCCAGAACGCGTGATTCACAGTGGACCTGCGTGGAGAGCATGGAAGGCCACAGTTCGGGACACCAGCGGCAGACTCAACACACCAGCGCTGGAACGCAAGGTGAGGCAAACCTCAATAGCCCGAGACACCAGCAGGCAAGCGGAGAGAGGAGACTAGAGGGAACGACCCCCGGGGGGGGAAGTTCACCAGGCTAACTGGAAGAGAGAGAGAGAGAGAAAAAAATGTGACTGGTACGGACACGGGTTTCTCTCTCTCCGCTCACCTCTCAAGGGCAAGCAAGACAAAGAGCAGGCGCCATCTTAGACATACGTCATAAGCAGAGCGACCTCAGGTCTGCACCGGCCCTGAGCCTAGCAGAAAAACCTGACTCTGGGTGGGGCGAATTAACAGGAGATTAGGACCTAGTAAATTTGTGGTGCTACTGAACTGAGACTGTGAAAAAAGAGGCGGTGGGGGAGAGAACTCACAGAATTCACGTGAGTACTCTCCAGAGACGCTACAATTCTGTAACTTTGGCAACCCAGTGGGAGAGTGAAGGAGAATCTGAGCCCACCCTGAGGGCAGAACAGATTCCCTGTGTGGTCCTTGGGAAAGAGCTTCCGATGTCTGGCTCCTGTGGGTATATCATTTGCCTGCTAACTACCTCCAACTTCATTCAGCTGTGTGCAATTACTTCCCTTTTGAATCAAAGAAAGAAAGAGAGAGAGAGAGATCTACCACGCCTAACCTGGGAGTGTCACCTTTGGCACACCAAACAGAGCTCTCAGGCCACACCCATCTCAAGCCTCTAAGGCTCCATCAAAAACAGACAGTCCACTTAATCTAGAGTCATAGTATAACAAGAAGAAGCACCACAGTGAAGAAACCAAATATCTCCAATATGCCAAATAACAAACGCAAAAACTGAAGCAATAAAAACAAGGAAGTCACCATGACACCCCCAAACGAAAAAGACACCCCAATTCAAGATTATGAAGATGATGAGTTAGAAGAAATGCAAGAAGCAGATCTCAAAAAATTGATAAGAACATTAAGAAGTTCTCAAAAACAAATTCTTGAACTACAGAAATCCTTAATGGACAAGATAGAAAATCTCTCTCGTGAAAATGAAATATTAAGGAGGAATCAAAATGAAACGAAACAACTAGTACAACAGGAAACTGTGATAGTGATGAGAAATCATAATGAAGTGAAGAATTCAATAGATCAAATGAAAAACACAATAGAGAGCCTTACGAACAGAATGGGTGAAGCAGAAGAGAGAATATCGGACTTAGAAGACAGAGAACAGGAAAGGATACAGTCAGACCAAAGAAAAGAAGAGGAAATTAGAAATCTAAAACATATTGTCAGGAATCTGCAGGATACTATTAAAAAAAACAACATTAAGGTTCTAGGAGTTCCTGAAGTCATGGAGAGGGAGAAAGGATTAGAAGGCCTTTTTAGTGAGATATTAGCAGAAAATTTCCCAGGTTTGGAGAAGGACAGAGACATCCTAGTACAGGAAGCTCACAGAACCCCTAATAAACATGACCAAAAGAGATCCTCACCACGACACGCTGTAATTAAACTCACCACAGTGAAACAGAAAGAAAAGATCCTAAAATGTGCAAGAGAGAAACGTCAGATTACTCTCAGAGGATCTCCAATCAGACTCACAGCAGACTTCTCATCAGAAACCCTACAGGCTAGGAGGGAATGGCGAGACATAGCCCAGGTACTAAGAGAGAAAAACTGCCAGCCCAGAATATTATATCCTGCAAAGCTATCATTTGTGAATGAAGGTGAAATAAAGACTTTTCATAGCAAACAGAAATTGAAAGAATTTGTGGCCACTCGTCCAGCCCTGCAAAAGATGCTTAAAGATGTGTTACACACAGAAACACAGAAACACGGTCATCAATATGAAAGAAGGGAAAGGAAGAACACCTACCAGTAAAAGAGCATGGGAAGCTCAAAGCATATACTAGAATATATCTCCGGGAAAATGGCAGGGCAAAGTCACTATGTATCAATCGTCACATTAAACGTGAATGGCCTGAACTGTCCAGTTAAAAGACACAGACTGGCTGACTGGCTTAAGGAACAACACCCAACTATTTGTTGCCTACAAGAAACACATCTCTCTAACAAAGAGGCATGCAGACTGAAAGTGAAAGGTTGGAAAAAGATATTCCATGCCAACAAAAAAACAAAAAAAAGCAGGTGTAGCCATATTAATATCAGACAAAATAAACTTTAATACAAAAACTGTTAAGAGAGACAAAGAGGGGCACTATATAATGATTAAGGGTTCAATTCAACAGGAAGATATAACTATTATAAATGTATATGCACCTAATTACAGGGCACCAGTCTATTTAAAAAATATGTTAAGGGACTTAAAGGGAGACTTAGATTCCAATACAATAGTACTGGGGGACTTCAATACTCCACTCTCAGAAATCCATAGATCATCCAGACAGAAGATCGACAAGGAAACAGCAGATTTAATCGACACTATTCCCCAAATGGATCTAACAGATATCTATAGAACTTTCAATCCTACATCTAAAGACTTTACATTCTTCTCAGCAGTGCATGGAACCTTCTCTAGGATTGATCACATACTAGGTCATAAAGCAAGTCTCAGCAAATTGAAAAGAATTAGAATCATACCATGTAGCTTCTCAGACAACAGTGGAATGAAGCTGGAAATGAGCAACTCAGGAAACCCCAGAAAGTATGCAAACACATGGAGACTGAACAACATGAAATGAATGAACACTGGGTCATTCAAGAAATCAAAAGAGAAATCAGAAACTTTCTGGAAGTAAATGAGGATAACAACACAACATATCAAAACTTATGGGATACAGCAAAAGCAGTATTGAGAGGCAAGTTTATAGCAATAGGGGCCTATATCAAGAAATTGGAAAGGCACCAAATAAATGAGCTTTCAGCGCATCTCACGGACCTAGAAAATTTGCAGCAAACCAGACCCAAATCTAGTAGGAGAAGAGAAATAATTAAAATCAGAGAAGAAATTAACAGGATTGAATCCAAAAAAAACATTACAAAAAATCAGCCAAGCGAAGAGCTGCTTTTTTGAAAAAATAAACAAAATTGACACCCCATTGGCCCAACTAAATAAAAAAAGAAAAGACCCAAATCAATAAAATCAGAGATGAAAACGAAACGTAACAAGAGACACCACAGAAATAAAAAGAATCATCAGAAATTACTACAAGGACTTGTATGCCAGCAAACAAGAAAATCTATCAGAAATGGATAGATTCCTGGAGAAATGCAAACTACCTAAAGTGAACCATGAAGACATAGAAAACCTAAATAGACCCATAACTGAAACAGAAATTGAAACCGTAATAAAGGCCCTCCCAACAAAGAAAAGCCCAGGACCAGATGAATTCACTGCTGAATTCTACCAAACATTTAAAGAAGAACTGATTCCATTTCTTCTCAAACTATTCAGAACAATCGAAAAAGATGGAATCCTCCCAAATTCTTTTTATGAAGCCAGCATCACCTTAATCCCTAAGCCAGAGAAAGATGCAGCACTGAAAGAAAATTACAGACCAATATCCCTGATGAACATAGATGCAAAAATCCTAAATAAAATTCTCGCCAACAGAATACAAAAACACATCAGGAAAATCATCCACCCAGACCAAGTGGGATTTATCCCTGGTATGCAGGGATGGTTCAACATTCACAAATCAATCAATGTGATTCACCACATTAACAGACTGCAGAAGAAAAATCATATGATTATCTCAATAGATGCAGAGAAAGCATTCGATAAGATTCAACACCCTTTCATGATGAAAATTCTAAGCAAATTGGGTATAGAAGGAACATTCCTCAATATAATCAAAGCAATTTATGAAAAGCCCACAGCCAGCATCCTATTGAATGGGGAAAAGTTGGAAGCATTTCCACTGAGATCTGGCACCAGACAGGGATGCCCACTCTCACCACTTCTATTTACATAGTTCTGGAAGTTTTAGCCAGAGCCATCAGACAAGAAAAAGAAATTAAAGGAATACAAATTGAGAAGGAAGAAGTCAAACTATCCCTCTTTGCAGATGATATGATTCTTTACTTAGGGGATCCAAGAAATGTCGCTCTCACCACTGCTATTCAATATAGTTCTGGAGGTTCTAGCCAGAGCTATTAGGCAAGAAAGAAATTAAAGGGATACAAATTGGGAAGGAAGAACTCAAACTATCCCTCTTTGCAGATGATATGATTCTTTACTTAGGGGACCCAAAGAACTCTACTAAGAGACTATTGGAACTCATAGAAGAGTTTGGCAAAGTAGCAGGATATAAAATCAATGCACAAAAATCAACAGCCTTTGTATACACAGACAATTCCATGGCTGAGGAAGAACTTCTAAGATCAATCCCATTCACAATAGCTACAAAAACAATCAAATACCTTGGAAGAAACTTAACCAAGGACGTTAAGGATCTCTACGATGAAAATTACAAAACCTTAAAGAAAGAAATAGAAGAGGATACCAAGAAATGGAAAAATCTTCCATGCTCATGGATTGGAAGAATCAATATCATCAAAATGTCCATTCTCCCAAAAGCAATTTATAGATTCAATGCAATACCAATCAAGATACCGAAGACCTTCTTCTCAGATCTAGAAAAAATGATGCTGAAATTCATATGGAGACACAGGAGACCTCGAGTAGCTAAAGCAATCTTGTACAACAAAAACAAAGCCGGAGGCATCACAGTACCAGATTTCAGGACATACTACAGGGCAGCTGTAATCAAAACAGCATGGTACTGGTACAGAAACAGATGGATAGACCAATGGAACAGAATTGAAACACCAGAAATCAACCCAAACATCTACAGCCAACTCATATTTGATCAAGGATCCAAAACCAATCCCTGGAGTAAGGACAGTCTATTCAATAAATGGTGCTGGGAAAATTGGATTTCCACATGCAGAAGCATGAAGCAAGACCCCTACCTTTCACCTTACACAAAAGTCCACTCAACATGGATTAAAGACTTAAATCTACGACCTGACACCATCAAATTATTAGAGAGCATTGGAAAAACCCTGAAAGACATAGGTACTGGCAATGACTTCTTGGAAAACACCTCAGAAGCACAGGCAGTGAACGCCAAAATTAACATTTGGGATTGCATAAAATTGCGAAGTTTCTGTACTGCAAAAGAAACAGTCAGGAAAGTGAAGAGACAACCGACAGAATGGGAAAAAATATTTGCAAACTATGCAACAGATAAAGGGTTGATAAGCAGAATCTGCAAAGAAATCAAGAAACTCCACAAGATCAAAACAAACAACCCACTTAAGAGATGGGCCAAGGAATTCAATAGACATTTTTCCAAAGAGGAAATCCACATGGCCAACAGACACATGAAAAAATGTTCAAGATCACTAGCAATCAGGGAAATGCAAATCAAAACCACAATGAGGTTCCACCTCACCCCGGTTAGAATGGCTCACATTCAGAAATCTACCAACAATAGATGCTGGAGAGGATGTGGGGAAAAAGGGACACTAAGCCACTGTTGGTGGGAATGCAAACTGGTCAAGCCACTATGGAAGTCAGTCTGGAGATTCCTCAGAAACCTGAATATAACCCTACCATTCAACCCAGCCATCCCACTCCTTGGAATTTACCCAAAGGAATTTAAATTGGCAAGCAAAAAAGCGTTCTGCACATTAATGTTTATTGCAGCTCAATTCACAAGAGCTAAGACCTGGAACCAACCCAAATGCCCATCAACAGTAGACTGGATAAAGAAATTATGGGACATGTACTCTATAGAATACTATACAGCAGTGAAAAACAACGAAACCCAGTCATTTGCAACAAGATGGAGGCATTTGGAAAACATCATGCTGAGTGAATTAAGCCAGTCCCAAAGGGACAAATATCATATGTTCTCCCTGATTGGCGACAACACACTGAGCACCAAAGGGGAAACTTGTTGAAGTGAAATTGACACTATGAGAAACAGTGACTTGATCAGCTCTTGTCCTGACGGTTCATGTACAATGTAATCCTTTATCCATTTTAGTATTTTTTTTTGTTCTAGTACCATTGGTTGAACTCTGTAATTAACACACAATTATTCTTAGGTGTTGAAATTTTAACTGAAAAGTGATCGCTGTTAAATATAAAAGTGGGAATAAGAGAGGAAAGAGATGTGCAATTCGGGACATTCTCAAGCTGACTTACCTCAAACGGTAGAGTTAGAAACATACCAGTGGATTCCAATTCAATCCCATCAAGGTGGCATGTACCAATGCCATCTCACTAGTCCTGGTGATCAATTTCTGTTCACAATTGATCGTAATGATAGGACTAAGAACCAAAGGGATCACATAAACAATAATAGTGTCTGCAAATACTAGCTGATAGAATAAAAAAGGGAGAGGATGATCCAACATGGGAAGTGAGATACACAGCAGACCCATAGAATGGCAAATGTCCTAACAGCACTCTGGCCTCATAATCAGCCCTTAAGGCATGCGGATCCGGCTGAAATGCCCATGAGAGTATTTCAGGCATGGAAAGCCAAGACACTCTAGGGGGAAAAAAACGTAAATGAAAGATCTCCACGAGTGAGATCCCAGTGGAAAGAACGGGTCATCAAAGAAGGAGGTACCTTTCTCTGAAGGGAGGAGAGAACTTCCACTTTGACCATGGCCTTGTCTAAAAATGATCAGAGTCAGTGAACTCAGGGGGCTTCCATAGCCTTGGCAACTCATGACAAGAGCCTAGGGTGATTACTGATGCCATAAACAAGAGTGTCAATTTGTTAAGTCAACAACAGGAGTCACTGTACACTTACTCCTCATGCAGGATCTTTATCCTTAGTGTGCTGTACATTGAGATCTAATCTATAACTAGTACTCAAACAGTATTTTTCACTTTATGTTTCTGTGTGGGAGCAAACTGTTCAAATCTTTACTTAATGTATGCTCAACTGATCTTCTGTATATAAAGAGAATCAAAAATGAATCTTGATACGAATGGAAGGGGAGAGGGAGTGGATAAGG